GATATTAGCTAATCCATGATGTGATTTCCATCACATGATGGAAACATAAAAAAATTGAGTTTAAATAAAAGTACTATTATTTGCAAGACAGATCACTGTGTTATACATTACAGATAGTATGTATTATAGTACATTATGTTTTGACATAAAGATATATAAAATATTTTACGAAAATGTTACGTTCAAAAAAAAAATATCAGACGCAATGGAAAGTTTTCATGTGCATGAACACGTTCGAGTCAAGTTTAGGTTAAGTATTACACACATGTGTTTTTTCTTCCCTCTATTATTTTTTTTCACATACTTACCAGTATTGTCAGCACAATTGATGACTGCACCAACCGGTAAACCCAGAGATATCCTGAATTTGGCTCCAGCCGAGCCACCACGTCCTAAAAACAACAAGCATTATCTTAAAACCAACGGCATCATTGAGGAAAAACTTTCTTCTAGTTTCTACTTTTCACCAACAAAGTAACGTCTCGTCCCTTCGCATGGACGAAACACGTTCCTATCTTTTCATCGCATCATTCGGACCCGATGGATCCTCCAGGCAACGATTTTCTCGGATTTCCCTCATATTCAAGAATAGACTTACCTCTCTTCGACATGTTGGTGATTTGAAAGAATGCGTTAGGGAGAGCGTGCTCTCGACACAGCGGAATGAAAAATAGGTATATATATCACTAGTTCCGAAGTATCTTAGTGAGACTAATTCCCTACAACAAGATCTGAAATGCAGGGACATTTCGTGTTGATAAATCCAAAGAAAATGATGCAAAATTTAAAAGCGATTTGCTAGTCGGCGAGAGTGGCGTAATTTTTTGCATTTTATGAAACATACAAAAAGAAAAATTGAAAAAATTATAAATGTAAAAAAATAGATGAAAAGAAGTAATTTGACAGAAATAAAATCAATCAAGAATTGCATAATCATTTATTCCGCATTCGTCATTGTGTGGATTAAGCGACAAGAAAACGATTGAACTTCAATTGGTTTTAATATTTTAATCAACAATGGCTAAAGTGTTAACTCTATTGACGACAATTCGAAATAATTGGAAAAAATCCGTGCTGGGAATTGCGGCCTTTTCATATGGGATTTCATATGGTAAACAAACGTACGAGTACGTAACCATGGAGAATGTAACCTTAAACTCTTCCCTGTGAATTTATATTACGATAAAAAAAAATCTTTTTAATTTCAAATGCATGTTTGTATATACGATATATCATATTATAAAATAATGTATTGCCAATATTTTAAAATATACAAATATTTATATATTTATGCAACATAAACATATATATATGTTATATTGTAAAATATACAATATTATACAATAATGTTGTAAAATATACAAATATTTATATATTGTATATTATATTTATATATTTATATATTGTAAAATATACAATATATGTTTAATATTTATATATTGTAAAAGATACAAATATTTATATATTTATGCAATATAAACATATATATGTTTATGTTGCATAAATATATAAATATTTGTATATTTTACAATATTGGCAATACATTATTTTTATGCAGATACTTTAAATGTATAATTATAAATTTTTTTCTGAAATATGAAATTGAATTTCATATTATTCTTAGTACAGAACAATTGATGCGCCAATGTTGCGAAAATGTAGCCAAGTATGGAGATAGTTCTTGCCCTACAAATATCAGGCCACGTCATGTGACTGTTGTTTTAAATCCAGCTGCTAAGAAAAGGTTGTCACAAAAATTTTAATCAAAATCTTGATTATTCTTTGCTTGTTATCCTTTTTTTTTCTTTTCAGAAAGGCTAAAAAATTATTCCAGAAGTATTGCGAACCTCTGTTGCATTTAGCTGGCATTTCAGTAACAATTATCGATACACAATCAGGAAGTCATGCACGTAACGTAATAATGAATCTGGAAGTGCCTACCGACGCGATTATTGTAGGAGGAGGAGATGGTACTTTATCAGATGTTATAACTGGTTTGATGAGAAAGTACAAGAACAGTCTCCATTCAGTCAGACAATGTCCTATTGGCATTTTGCCATTAGGAAGCAGAAATACAATTGCAAGCATATTTTATCGAGAATATACAGATTTAACTGATATACACCACATGATTGATGCGACAATGGCAATTATTAAGAATAATTTTAAGTCAATAGATGCTATTGAGATTAAATTGTTGAAAGTACATACCTTCATTGGTTATCGTTTACTTCAAATTTGTAGCTTAAATTACATTGAAATAGAAATTTTAATTTTAGGATGATCCAGATAATCCTATAAAACCGATTTATGCTGTCGATGGCATAGAGTGGGGAGCTTGGAGCGATACACACGCACGTATTGACAAATATTGGTACTGGGGTCCTTTACGCAAGTAAATTTTTTAATTTCTTTAAACAAGACTTTACTCGCGTTTGTATTTTGTCTCATGCTTTCTACATTCGAATAGATATGCAGCTTATTTGTTCAATGGTTACAAATCAAACTTAAACTGGAAATGCAATGCACTAATGAAATATACAAATCCTTGCAAAGGGTGTTCATGTTGCTATTCCAAAAATTCTTACAATCAATCTTCGAATTTAAATAAAAGATGGTGGCATGCATTTCTTCCAAAGAGGCAAATATTTACTCTTGGTAAAAATATTTTTATAAAATTTGTAATAAATTTGTAATAAATTATTTATATATGATCTTATATAATGACATATATTTTAGATAATCCTGTTGATTACAGTAAAGTAATAAATGTAGATTGTGGCATATTTCATGAGATGCCTATTTCGACGACTGAATTATGTATAAAAACGGATAACATAAATGTGCCAGTCCAATCTACGCCTTCGTTAAAAATAACGCTAGGTAATTATGAAATAATAATTATTTTAAATATCTGTTATTGTTGAAATATTGAACATAAAATTTAAAATAATTATAATTAATTTTTCATACTTTAAGGCCCAGAAAATATTAGTTATGCCACATTTGTCGAAAAAGGATGGAAAAAAGAAATAAACAATGAACTGCCAATAAACTCAGTATTAGATGCAAAGACTATTGAATTACATCCTGAGACAGTAAGTTTTTCTTTCTTATAAATATTAATAAAAATTTTTATGCACATATTCATAATATATCTTGAAAAAATATATATTTTAATTATTTTATGATCAATTATTAAGTCTCTTAAAAATTTTAGCCATATTAATTTATTTCAGAATGGAGATCGGATGTTTTATATTGACCATGAAGAGTATGAATTGAAACCAATTCAAATAAGATTACTTCCACAATCTATAACAATTTTCTATCCTGAGTTAAACAACTAATAAAACAATTCAAAGTTATTTTATGAGCATTTAATTTACTATAATAATCATTATTTAAAAATGAAAAAAATAGGATGTGATAAAACACTGTTAAACCAAATGTTATGTAAAAAAGTCATTTAATATATTTTATTTTTATATAAAAAAATAATTTATCGCCGTGTACAAAAAATATCTCAACTATAACAATTTTTGTACAATACATTTATCATCTACTGTAATATAACGCTTGTATTAAAAATTTGCGTCAGATTGTGTTTATCTTACAACTATATAAATCTCGTCTTAAATCTTAAAAATTACGCAAGATATATTGCGACTCGCTTTATTTCTTTTCATGTATCCTTTATCATGTTATAAATTGGCATAAAAATTCTTTCATAACCAGTCTTCTTTTTCTTTACATGCTCATTTAGAGTTTAAATCATCAACTGCTATTATATGATATATTAATAACCGGTATTTCAAGATCCTCTGTTTCCAATATTACAATATAAAATACTGCAACAAAAAAATTTTAAGATTCAATTTGTAAATCATCAAATTCTGAATTTACTATTTTTAAGATGTATCCGTTGATGATAAATTATTGTTGGTATTATTATTATTATTATTATTATTATTATTTGAATTTTTTTCATTATTCTTACTAGCGGCTTTAAAAAAGTCCAGTAAAGAGCCACTTTTTATTGGTTTTGTGACCTTTTGGGGCTCGGTCGATCGCGACCTATTAGATCTTCGACCAGGTGTTACTTGAGTCTTCGGGCTATTCGAAATTGACGAAGTTTTTTTCTGTTCGTATCTTTCCTTTCTAATTTTTGTCAACCAATCGACGTTTTCTTTGTACTTTTGCGGTGATATCTCAAGTAAATGTGGTGCTGTACCATCCACCACAAAATTTGGCAAGTTTAATGTGGGTGAAAAAGGAGCTTCATTCTTACTTGCAGACTGACTCGTACTGGGTTCATCCGAATCGTTATCCCTACTAGTAGTAGGAATTTCATTACTTGAACTGAATAGTCTTCTCATACCACGATTGTCCATGTGAATTCGTTTTGCAGAGGTCTCGTTTTCGTGAATAGGTGATAAAATAGATTTAAACTTTCCTTCAGACCTTGAGCCCATCATCATTTGTAGATAACTACGTTTGGTAGAACCGAGTTTATTATCATCTTCCTTATCAGATTCATTAAATTCGGGAGTCACAGCTGTGGAATTAAAATATTTTTTCAAAAAATCTAGAATTTATCTATATTTATATTTTTTATTTATATTTGAAAACGAGACAAATTTTATTTATAATAGTTAAAGCTTATAATATAATCTAAAAATTTTCCAAACTGAGACGTTGCATTTTTTTTTAACATCTTTTATTTACTTAAATAAATTTTTCGATACGTTTTATTCTTACCCAAGGTAGAAATAGTATTATGCTCCTCTGAACTTGGTGTAGTTTTTTGGCAAACATTCAAATATTGAGAACTTGGGCTAGTTTCTTGGTAGATATTCGAGTATCGGGAACTTGGAGTGGTTTCTATTTTCATATTTTCTAAATGATATTTTCCCACGATCTCAGCGCGACCGCGTATTTTTACTTCTTCGTTATCCTCTTTATCCTCGAGTCCCACTTTCCATATTCGGTGACAGGAATCATCGGAACAGGTCACTATCTGAAATAATCTTCGGGATTAGATGAACTTTTCTTTCTAGATATTTTTTTCAGAATTGCGAATTTGAGAA